TAGAGTCATAGACAGGATACTCTAAACATCAAGCGAAAACAAGAAAAGCGGCATTAGAAGGCTTTGGAAAGATATGATTAACACATTTTGCTACACAAGTCAAAGATAGAGATTTCCAATTGAAACGATGATAGTCGTTGAGCATTGAGAAAAACTAAAAAGATAAAGAAGAAGATTCCATTTTCAACAGTTCATGTTTGGATTGTAGTTATTGGAGTCTGATCGAACACTTATTCCTCATCTGTACGCTGTTTACAAATTTCAACTCACATCGATCGCGCGGACAAACGGTTTCTTCGATTTTAGGACGATTTGCGCAGAGCGTGTGCTTCAAAAATTCCAATAATTTTTTTTTTGCTTTATGATGGGCTTTCGTGTTGTTATCGCATAGTTTATCTTACAATACTGGAGAAGATAAACTAGTTATAATAAGAACTGATAAAATCTCTAATATAACACATATTGCATCTTCATTCCTTTCCACGAGTTGTAATAACTTCGTTCATTGAGAATCATAACATAATCAATGCTCTTGTTTCTGAACATCACTTTCATCAATGTGTCCCGTGAATTATTTTAAAAGTCTTCGCTTCGCCTTCCTGTCGCATCTGAAAGCGTGGACCAACGCTAAATTTAAATGTCGCGACCTTCTGTATTCCTTTGAAATCGATTTCGTTTGAATAATTTAGATACTTTCTTCTTAACAATTATCTGCAGTTATGGGCGTAAGAGGAGATTCTGGACATCAAAGAGCGAAACCAGTACCTACAGCTGAGCAACTGCGGTTCGCACAGCTTAATTTGGAAGGCAAATCGACTGATGATGATCCTAAATATATCCAAAAGCTCATTAAAGAGGTTGTGAATGTGATTCTATCAATGTTGCTCATGTTTTGTCATTGCAGGTGATCGAAACAACCCGATGCTCACAAGCGCAAGCTGAACTTGCGTTGTATGATAATGATAATGATCTCGCCGCCGCTGTTGATTACATATTGGAACATGCTTCTGAAGTTGAAAGTTGGACCGAACAGAAGAGTAAGAGAGAAAAGAAGAAAGAGGAGGAAGAAAGAAGACCAACACGTGGCTATTCCTCTAACAGAGGACGTGGTGGTTTCACAGAACGAGGAGGAAGAGGGCGTAGCTCAGGTGGACCATCTGCAGCTACTAAGACTGCCTTCAGCACATCACAAAGAGGAAGAGGAGGATCTCGGCAACAAAACTCTCGAACCGATCAAACACAAGCTAATAAGCCAATGGAAACATTCAATGCAGAAGAAAATGTAGACTGGGTATGAATGTGAGCGTTTGAAACCTATTCTATTATTTCAGAAGAGTGGTCCCATGGAGTTCAAAAGATCAGCAGAACATGCATCCGCAGAGCAGACTCCCAGCAGTTCACAAGCTGCTCCTTCGTCTGTTGCACCTGTACCCACAACCGCGGCTGGACCAATTTCTTTTGCTGCTGTAGCTGCTGCTGCTGCTAGAAAAGATCAACAGAAACAACAGACTCCCACGCAACTTGCTCAGCCAGTACCATCATCAGCATGCTTTGATGAATCAGCATCTACGAGTGTGCGGAATGAAGTTCAAGCTGAAGAAAGCTATCATTCGTGAGTTGTGGTACTCTGTAGCCCAAATTTTTACATCGAGTTCCAGAGAGCCAGCTCTTGCTGCGGAAGAAGAGCATGAGACTACTGTGGAATCAGAAAATGTGAGCTCCGTTAATGTTTCATCCACGGCTATACAGGTTGTTCACATCATCAAGCTTTGTATGCATCAATTTTGAAGACCAATACATCATGGACGAATCAATTGAAGAATGAGTTAGGTATAGGCCTAACGCCTTCAGAATCACCTCTACGTCAGCAGAATCAGTTTTCTAGTCCAGTATCATACGCTCCAGGTTCGAAAATATTTCATCTTTTTCTATTATCGCAATGATCACAGCTGGCGTTGAATTTGCTCCTGAAGCAGCATCCACAAGGCTTGTTGATTACCAGTTTGGTTTTGTTGATGTGAGCAACTCCGCTTCTGATATTCCGGCACCTCCGGTTCCTTCAGCTCCAACAGAGTCTCCCTTCAACCCAACCAGACATGGCTCTTCTAACGTTGCACAGAAAGCAGTAGAGGTAATACTTGTTGTTTCGAACTGTTTGATTTCTTTCTGTTGCAGCCTGAGAGATTATCTAACAACGAGTATTCTATTAAGAATACTTCTCCTACTGCTCCATACGGTCAATCAACATCACGTTCCTTGGGTTTTGGAGACGCTTCATCTGTTTCATATAACCCTTCGCTTTCTGATCGTGTATCTACGTCAAAACCCTCTCATGTACCACCTCCACAACAGCAGAATCAACCTCTACAGCAGCAAGCGCAAACACCACAGCAGCACCAAATGTTCCCTCATCCTTATACATTCAACTATATGTACAATGGTGTTAGAGCGGATGACCCATACTCTGCTGCGTTACTGCAGTATCCTCTGGCTGGAATGGGTGTTGACTTCTCTTCCATTTTACCGGTTACGAATACTCTATCTCAGTCTGGAAACGGACAACAGCTTCAAGGCAATCAGCACAGATCAGATTCTCATTCCATGGACGGCATAAAGTATCAATCTCAGAGTAGTCGTGAACAGAGTCAACAAGGCTCCAACGTTGCTCCTCCGCCAGGGTTCGCCAACCCATCTTATATGAATCAACCACCACTATCATCATTATTCATGCAGCAGTACACTCCAATGCAATTCTCTTACATGATGCCCAATGTTGGTAATGCTGGAAGACAAATGTACCAGGAGGAGGATCGCAAATCTTACGATAAGATGTCAGGAGCAAAACAAGCTCAGGCTACTCCACCACCCCATCATTACAATCATAATGGAGGTAATTACATGAATATTAACAAGAAGCAGTATAACTGGAACAACTAAAACTGGTAGCTCGATGTTCTCAATCTCATGCTTGATGTTAATAAAGAAACTTTTAT